TCTCTCTCTCTCTCTCTCTCTCTCTCTCTCTCTCTCTCTCTCTCACCAAATGGAGTTGAAGAGCATACTTGCATATCTTCAGAACAAGACCATTTTGGTAACTGGAGCCACTGGCTTCGTTGCAATGGGTATACCATCTCTCTCTCCCTATCCCTCTCCCTCTCCCTCTACCATGACGTGGTGTTCCCTCTCTACCTTGATGTGGTGTTATTAATCGTAACTTTATTTTATAATTATTCATGCAGTATTTGTGGAGAAAATACTAAGGGTTCAACCAGATGTGAAAAAAATCTTTCTTCTTTTAAGAGCTTCCAATACCAACTCAGCCACGGATCGCATGCAAAATGAGGTTTATATTTCAATACCATTATTATTACAGACAATGCTATTGCATTTTCATGTACTTTGGAATTACTGGTCAAATAATTTTATTAATGTATTTTCATAAAAATTAAGATCATAGGAAAGGAGTTGTTCAGAGTTCTCAGGGACAAACATGGTGCGGATTTTGATTCCTTTGTGTCGCAAAAAGTTGTGGCTGTCGCGGGAGATGTAACTTCTGAAAACCTTGGAGTGAAAGACTTCAAATTGAGGGAAGAAATGTGCAATGAAACAGAAATCATACTTAATTCTGCTGCAACTACCAACTTTGATGAAAGGTGATGTATTACATCCAATTTTATATGCATTCAAAATATTGATATTCTGCAATATTTTTAACATATAATTCTCTTCAATTAATCAAAATAAACCTGTCCATATATTTGTGTGCAGATATGATATTGCGCTGGACGTCAATACATTTGGCATTCTGCATGTGGTGAGCTTTGCAAAGAAATGTTTAAAGCTAGAGATGCTTCTCCACGTATCAACTGGTTGTTTTTGTTAACGTTTTCTTTGACTAAATTTGGCTTCTTTCTTATATATATATATATATACAGTCCCCATCTATTGAAGGGATTCCGCGAATAATTTTATTTGAGGGACACCCTTTAGGGTTCCCTACAAATTTGTTTTCAATGATCCAAACCATCTATTTTTGAAGTCTATATTCATAGATCATCCTTGCAAAAAATTAGACAAATCGGAAACGGTTTCGATATCCAATTGTGTTCTATAAAATCAATAAACATGGTGCTTCAAGAAAATACAAAAATTTCAATAACTCAATTGAGTGGTCAAATAATATCGGATTCAAGTGATATATATAGGGAGCTTCGGTTGAGGGATCCCTCAAATTTATTTGAGGGACACCCTTGTATGGCCCACTCCATATTGTATTTTACTAATCCAAACCGTCTATTTTGTAGATATTCATATATATATAGGGAGCTTCAGTTGAGGGATCCCTCAAATAATTTGAGGGACACCCTTGTATGGCCCACTCCATATTGTATTTTACTAATCCAAACCGTCTATTTTGTAGATATTCATATATATATAGGGAGCTTCAGTTGAGGGATCCCTCAAATAATTTGAGGGACACCCTTGTATGGCCCACTCCATATTGTATTTTACTAATCCAAACCGTCTATTTTGTAGATATTCATATATATATAGGGAGCTTCAGTTGAGGGATCCCTCAAATAATTTGAGGGACACCCTTGTATGGCCCACTCCATATTGTATTTTACTAATCCAAACCGTCTATTTTGTAGATATTCATATATATATAGGGAGCTTCAGTTGAGGGATCCCTCAAATAATTTGAGGGACACCCTTGTATGGCCCACTCCATATTGTATTTTACTAATCCAAACCGTCTATTTTGTAGATATTCATATATATATAGGGAGCTTCAGTTGAGGGATCCCTCAAATAATTTGAGGGACACCCTTGTATGGCCCACTCCATATTGTATTTTACTAATCCAAACCGTCTATTTTGTAGATATTCATTCAAATATTCCACAAAAAATCACTTGAATTTAATATCATTTAACCACTCAATTGGATTATTGAAATTTTAGTAATTTCTTGGAGCATTGTGTTCATTGATTTTGTAGGATACAATTAGATGTCGAGACAGTTTCCAATTTGTCTAATTTTTTGCAAAGATAATCTATGAATGTCAACTTAAAAATTAGATGGTTTGGATCGTTGAAAAAAAATTAGTAGGGGATCCTAAAGGGTGTCCCTCAAATATTTGAGGGATCCCTCAATAGAAGGGTACTATATATATATATAGTTATTCTCTCATCTGGATGTCTGCACATTATTACCGTGTGGATGCCATTGTAATTAGGGAGATGTAGTTGAAAATACATAGCGTCCACACGGTAATAATGTACGGACGTCCGCATAGGAGAATTTGTGTATATATATTGGTTTTGATGTCTTTGAATTTGGTTAACTGATATGTATATTTTCCAGCTTATGTGTGTGGTGAGAGGGTAGGACTCATACCAGAGGGCTCACCTTCATTAACGGACGACATAGTAAAGGAAACCACCAAATTTGATTTCAAAGAACAAGAAAAGATCGTCGTGGAGAAGAAATTGACTGAACTAAAAGCACAAGGTGCTTCAGAAGAAGTTATTACAAGCACAATGAAGGATTTTGGCATTGAAAGGTATTGATATATCTAATTGGCCACTATGAACCCGTAATTATAACTTTGTATTTGGCCTAATTTTCCCGGGCTGAATCAAAAGGGAAAATTAGGCTGACATTATTAATAATATTTCTACATATATTGTGCCTTTGGAATTAAATTTTCTCTCATGCTAATTACTATTTGTATTTCTTTTATACAAAAATAATTAGGGCTAAACATTATGGATGGCCAAACACCTACGTATTTACAAAGGCGATGGGAGAAGTATTTCTGGGGCGCTCAAAAGATGAGCTATCTGTAGTTATCATTCGCCCAACTGTGGTTACCAGCACTTACAAAGAGCCATTTCCAGGTTGGATTCAAGGTTTTAGGTAATGAACTCTGCCTGCACCTACAAATTTTACGTTCTGAACTATCATTAACCCCTATAATTTACTACGTAAGAAAATAATATTCTTCTAAATTCCGAATTTGGTCAACTAAGAGTTTGATTTACGTCTAGTTAAAAAAATAATAATAATAACGTGAGAAACAGAGAGCAGCCATAGAGAACCGAAGTGGACTGCTGCGAGCGAGGCACACCAATTCAAAATTCTTTGTATCATATGGCCTTTCCTGATTACGTGTATCATTTTTTGTTATCAATCAGATTTGTTCGCGTCGTTGAGTTTGTTTGTAAAGTAAATCCAGTCTAATCCATTTTAAAATTCTAGATCCGTCCCTGACTAATACTCTCTATATTTGTCTCTATAGTCTTTTTAACATAAGTAGTATTTTCTTTCCATAAAAATAAAAAAAAAATAAAAAAAAATTAGTATTCTCTTACCAAACTTAATTATATTCATACAAATTCTTATTTTGCTAGATTTTGAATATGAAGCATACATTGGTTGGTGCAAATACCAACTAAATTTGTATATATGTGTTTATTCTTGGTGATTACAGAACCATTGATAGCGTAATTGCCGGTTATTGTAAGGGGAAGCTCACATGCCTACTTGCTGATCCTACGACAGTATTTGATATGGTGAGTTTACACTCATATACCTATTTGTTGGTTATTTATATATGTATGTATAAGACTAAAGAAGGGTTAAATGTTTGAAATAACGCAGATTCCTGTTGACATGGTGGTAAACTCAATAATTTCAGCGATGGCAGTGAATGCAAATCAATCTTCTATTGCCATTTACCATGTGGGATCCTCATTTAGAAATCCTATAAAAATAAATGAAATTCACGATTTTGTGTTTCGGCACTTCACCAAAGATCCGTGGGTTGACAAAGATGGAAACCTTGTTAAGGTTGGCAAGTGCACAATGTTCAGCACTATGGCTACTTTCCGGATGTACATGCAAATTTGCTTCATGATACCTTTGGAGGTTTGTTCTATCACTATATGTGATCATTTATAATATCAAACTTGCTATAGTTTTTTCTCTGCTCATTAATTTCCTTTGATTTATTCTTGTTTGAAGGGATTAAAGTACGTAAACAAAGCATGTGGCCAGTATTTCCAAGATGCATACGTTAACTATAGCCGAAAACTCAAATTGGTGATGCGCTTCGTAGAGCTATACAAACCGTATATGTTATTCAAGGGCATGTACGTATACTTTACTTCTATAATTAGAGATAGAGTTTTATCATTTAATTTTAATTACATGAAGGACGGAGCCAAAGTCAAGTCTAAATTGAACTTTGCCCTCACCCCTTTTATAACCCTTTCTATATAAAAAAATGATACTATTTCACAATTAAACTAGTGATGGGCCTCATTTAAGATGGTAAAGTCGTTTATAGTTAAGTTTTAGATTTTGGCCCCTCAATTATTAAAAATTCTAGCTCCGTCATTAACAACTGATGTGTTTTGATTATAGCTTTGATGACACCAATTCGGAGGAGCTGCGAAAGGTGGCAAGTGAGAGTTACATAGATGCAAACATATTTAACTTTGATCCGAATTGCATTGATTGGGAAGACTACATTATGAATACTCACATCCATGGCCTCCGAAAGCATGTTATGGTTAAGTGATAGCCAGAAGAGTCGATAGATTGCCATTACACAATAAAATAATATTTTTGTACGCATGTGTTATAAGTTTGCAATATCCTTGTATACATGCAAACCAGCCAAAATATCAGTCAAAATACTCTCAGCTAGAACAAGATGGATGATTGTATCTGTAAACCATCGTATTGTTCATTTATTTACAGAAACTTAAACCCACCTTTTATATATACATGTCGTGTTGGATCTTGTAGCATCCATTTGTTGCTTGTGATTGAAAAATTTATTTTCAAATACTTAATTTGATAGGACATTTGTCAAAAATTATTTTATGTATTGTAACACTGCTGGATGTATAGTGATACTTTTCTTCCCAAACGGGAGCATGGGGCACTTGATTGTTTCTACATGCCTAACTTTTCCTATATCAAGGTTCAGATTGAAATTGGTACTTAGGTGACGAAGGGTTAATTTAAATGTTATTCAAACAGACACAGCAATATTCACACACTTTAAAACTTGACCAAAGATGATTATGACTAGTCAACAACTAGTCATGAAAGCCATAACCAAGAACACACAGAGCACACCAATCTGTACCTGCAAGCCTAGAAGATTACTAGTGACAACCTAGGCACTCAGAAGGACCCGTCAATCTAGGCATCCCCTGTGCTAGCAACAACTATGGTGAAAGTGTGTGAAAGCATCATAATCAAGTAAACAACAAACAACAAATAATGATGACTAGTCAACCGCAAGAACACAAACCCAGAAATACATGAACATCATGCGATGACTAGTCAACTATCAAGAACACAAACCCAGAAAATTGTGAACAACAAAACCAGAAAAATTGTTCACCCAGAAACCCACCACTACGAAAAACTGGGGGTCATCATCCGACCAGGCAATCCTCTAAGCAAATAAGATTCTTACAGAGAATACACAAGTAAGCTCAAGAAATCCTAGATCTATTTAGGAAACAAGATATACCTCCTCTGTGCAATCTTCTTCTCCAACTTAGTTGAGCTAGTAGCTAGTCCGTCATGTAAGTGGCAGCTAGTCCATTTGCTCCTTCACTCCATAGCACCGGCAACTCAGCTCCTGATCGAACAAACATAATGAAATATAGATGCTGAGATGAAAGGGTCAATTCCTTCAAGAAACCATACTCTTGAAGAAATCATCCAAGAATCTGATCCAGACTAAGAACGATGACTAGTCATAATGAACCCAGATGCAGACACAAGAAGATGACTAGTCATAACTGAACCCAGATGCAGATTATAAAAAGCATAGCAGATTTTAAAAAAGCATTTTTCAAAATCTCACAATGAAAAACCTTAGAGAATGCAGAGTATAAGTTTTACTCTCAAAATTTCTCAATAGGTAAAGTAGATTTCGAAAATAAAAACATATTTCAAAAGCTATTTGAAAACCTCATTTGAAAACTCAAACCATACCCAGATGCAAATGCAGAGAAGAAGAAGAAGACCACTCTCTCTCTCTCTCTCTCTCTCTCTCTCTCTCTCTCTCTCTCTCTCTCTCTCTCTCTCTCTCTCTCTCTCTCTCTCTCTCTCTCTCTCTCTCTCTCTCTCTCTCTCTCTCTCTCTCTCTCTCTCTCTCTCTCTCTCTCTCTCTCTCTCTCTCTCTCTCTCTCTCTCTCTCTCTCTCTCTCTCTCTCTCTCTCTCTCTCTCTCTCTCTCTCTCTCTCTCTCTCTCTCTCTCTCTCTCTCTCTCTCTCTCTCTCTCTCTCTCTCTCTCTCTCTCTCTCTCTCTCTCTCTCTCTCTCTCTCTCTCTCTCTCTCTCTCTCTCTCTCTCTCTCTCTCTCTCTCTCTCTCTCTCTCTCTCTCTCTCTCTCTCTCTCTCTCTCTCTCTCTCTCTCTCTCTCTCTAAAAAACCATATCATAAATTGTAAATGTGAGAGCTGGTGAGTCTAGACCAGCCCCAGCCTTTTTGGTAGATCAAAAGGACACTTGGCAGTCAATGATTGGACTTACAATAAGGAAAATCATGTGCCTTGGTTAAAAATTCCATGCTAGAAATATTGGCCTATATGACTAGTCATAAAAATCCCGTGCTAGAAATATTGGATTATATGACTAGTCATCTCGACAAAGTAACAAATACTGATTTGGTCTATATGACTCATCTCGACAAAGTAACAAATGCTGATTTGGCCTATATGACTAGTCATCTCAACAAAGTAGCAAATACTGATTTGGCCTATATGACTAGTCATCTCGACAAAGTATATGGATGCAAATGCTGATTTTCCTATTGATGCCCATTATAAATGAATGCACAATTACCTTGGTTTTGTAGCCTCATAACCTCTTCAATGTACTTCAACTTTGTAGCAAATACCCAATGCCTATTTTCTAAAGATGAGCTAAGAGGAATTACATGAAAGTGTACATTTGGCAAGGAAAGCCAATTCTAACAATCCTAAAACTAACAATCTCCCCCTTTGGCTTTCCTTGACAAAAACCCCAATCTTACACACTCAACACACAACCCAAACCTATACCTAATCTTTTAAGAGATTATTGTAAATCACCTGAAAGACAAACACCTCAAAGACCAAGAGCAAGTCCATCATATCGTAGAAAATATTCTCCCCCTTTTAGTCATGGAAAGACAAATAAATAAACTTATAAAAATAAAACATAGGAAGAATATGAATCAAATAACCATAATGCAATAGAGGAGCACTACAAGAATGAGTATAAAAAGAGTATCAAGCATGAAACTGTGCAAATAAGGCAAAGCCTTACTCCCCCTAAATTCGATAGATGAAAAATAGGCGAGACAAGAGACCAAAGGAAGCAAGTTACAATACATAAGAGCCTTCATTTAAAAATAAGAAATCTACTCTACCCCTAAGGCCCTCAATCACAAAAGTGCATCACGCTAGAGAAAATATGAAATGTAGCACAAGGTGCAAAGAATTATAACCAAAGCGATGAGAATCATGTGAATGGAATTGAATTCAATGTGTGGACATTACACAAAAAGAAACTCCCCCTAAACCAAAGCACCCCTTTAGAAAACATACTGCCCCTGAGTATAATCAAGGTCTAAAATATCGGTGGTATCGGAAATATCGGAAGTCCAAAAACACGGAAATATCGATGGAAATATCGGGATATTATCG